ACCACGCCCGGCTGATTTTTTGATTTATTGTAGGGATGAGGTCTCGCTGCCCAGGCGAGTCTCAAACCCACGGGCTCAGGCAATCCACTCACCTCAGCCTCCCAAAGGCACGGGATTACAGGCTGAGCCACCGAGCCCGGCTGCCATTTTTAATTTTTAAAATCTTTATTATATTTTTAGAGTCAGTTTTCTTCTGTCACCCAGGGCTGGAGTGCAGTGGTGCAGTCATTGCTCACTGCAGCCTCAAACTCCCGGGCTCAAGGGATACTTCTTTCTCAGCTTCCAGAGTAGCTGGGACTGCAGGTACATACCACCATGCCTGGCTGATTTTTTAATTGTTTTGTAGAGACAGAGTCTCGCTATGTTGCCCAGGCTGGTCTTGAACTCCTGGCCTTAAGCAATCCTCCTGTCTCGGCCTCCCAAAGTGCTGCACTTACAGGCATGAGCTACTGCACCCGGCCCCATAACCATTTGTAAATGCACAGTTCAGTAGAATTGCAAATGTATTGGCAATGGTGTAAAACAGGTCTCCAGAGCTTCTTCACTTATTAAACTAGAACTCTGTACCCATTCAACAACGGTCCCTTCCCCACCTCCACCCAGCCCCTGGTAAACCGCTATTCTACTTTCTGCTTTTATGAATCTGGCCGCTTTAGATCCCTCATATGAGGGGACTCATACAGTCTCTGTCCTTCTGTGATTGGCTCTTTTCACTTAGCATCGTGTCCTCAAGGCTCACCCTGTTGTAGCGTGTGTCAGGATTTCCTTCCTTCCTAGGGTGAATCCTACTCTATTGTAAGTGCAGTGTTTTATGCTTACCTTTTAGGCCCCACTCCCCTGTTTTGATGCAAAATTTTGCCAGAAATGTCTAGTGTACTGAGGATATGTCAGATAGAGCTTCTTTGGTGGGATTGTTGACCTGGAATCATGCCCACTCTGCCCTCCTCCCTGTCACCCCACAGGCCAGCCAGTTCAGTGGTTCTCAAAGTGGAGGGGGGAAGATCCTGGACCTGCAGGATCAGCATCACCTGAGGACTTTTAAGATGCAGATTCTCAGGACCCACTCTACAGCTACTGAGCCAGTGCCTCTAAGAGTGAGGCCTACAATCTGTGTATTCTCACAAGTCCTCTTGGTGATCCTGAATCCCAAAGATGGGGAGTGTTTTGCCTGATGTCATTTGGGAAGTTCAGTGGGATTTGATTATTGAGTGCCTGTGATATGTTAAATTCTAGAGTATTTGCTGCAAGCCAAGAAAATCAAGTCTCTGTATTAGTTAGCTATTGCCCGAGTTAACAAATCACCCCAGAACTTAGTGGTTTGAACAGCAGGGTCAGGAATCTGGGTGCCGCTTTGCTGAGTCCTCTGGCTTGGGGTCTCTGACAAGTCCACAACGAAGGTATGGGCTAGAGCCTCAATCATCTCAAGGTTCACCTGGACAAGACTGGCTTCCAAGCTCACCCAGTAGGTGTCCGCAGGATTCAGGTTCTTGTGGGTGGACTGACAGCCACTCTTCCTCACTGGCTATTGGCCTGGGGTAGCAGTCATAGTTGTTTATAACATAATCTCGAGCCAGGCACAGTAGCTCATGCCTGTAATCCCAGCACTTTGGGAGGCAGAAGCGAAAAGGATTGCCTGAGCCCAGGGGTTTGAGACCAGCCTGGGCAACTTGACAAGACTCGTCTCTACAGTAAATCAACAAATTAGTCAGGCATGGTGGAACATGCCTGTAGTTCCAGCTACTTGGGAGGCTGAGGCAGAAGGATCACCTGAGCCCAGCAGATTGAGGCTGCGGTGACCATGAGCGTGCCACTGCACTCCAGCCTGGGTGACAGAGTGAGACTCCGACACAAAACAAAAACATAATCTCAGAAGTGACATCCTTGCACAACATTCTTTTTCACTGGAAGCATGTCACTAGGTCCAACCTACACTCAAGAGGAGGTGACGCCTCACAGGCATGAATACCAAAAGTGAGGACCCTTTAGGAAACTGTCTCCCACAGTCCCTGTCTCTGCCCTTGTGTTTACAACTGGGGCATCAGATAAGTACACACCTAATTATGGAATCAGTTCAGAAAAGAGTGGTGAACACAAGTTCTGTGGAGGTGCAGATAATAAAACTCTGGTTGCAGGAATCAGGAAGGTTTTCTGGAGGAGGTGGCATTTACAATGGTTCTCAAAGGGATGGAGGACATGCCACTGGTAGAGAAAAGGCGGCCGGGTGAAGGGCACAGCAGAGGCAAAGGCAGTGAGGCAGGAAAGGGAAGGCCCTGCTCGGGTATCAGTCTCACCCAACTGGACCAGAGCATGGGCACGGAAGAAGGGAGCTGGCATGCAGGTTGCATGGGCCTCCACAGTGAAGTGGAGGGACTTCTGCCTTGCCTGGGAGGGGATGGGGACCAGGAGCCCGAGAGGCAGGGCTTCTGGAACCACTGAAGCCTGAACCGAGTGGGGGCTTTGAGCCCAGTGCCTCCCCCTACCCTGCCAGCCTGGCCCCGAGGTCCACACTCCCTTTTCTCTTGCAGTTCGGGCGCACCGAAGTTATTGACAACACTCTCAACCCCGATTTTGTGCGCAAGTTCATCGTGGATTACTTTTTCGAGGAGAAGCAGAATCTCCGTTTTGACCTGTAAGTGGAAGAGGGTGCTGAAGATGAAACTGGGTGTTGGGAGGGGTGGGGAACCTGTGCCAGGAGGTGGGGGGACCGGCCCTGGGGTTGATGTGGGAGTTCGCCTTACCAGGGAAGGTGGGAGGGGCTGAGAGATTAGGGAGAGCCCAGGGTCGGCCTGGGATAAAAGTGACAATTAAACCGGGCTCGGTGGCTCAGCCTGTAATCCCGTGCCTTTGGGAGGCTGAGGCAAGTGGATTGCCTGAGCCTGCGTGTTTGAGACCCGCCTGGGCAACTTGGCAAGACCTCATCTCTACAATAAATCAAAAATTAGCTGGGCGTGGTAGCACGTGCCTGTAGTTCCAGCTACTTGGAAGGCTAAAACAGAAGGATCGCCGGAGCCCAGCAGGTCGAGGCTGTGGTGGCTGGGAGCGGCCACTGCACTCCAGTCTGGGTGACAGAGTGAGACTCCAACTCAAAAAAAAAAAAAAAAAAGTGACAATTAGTTGAAGTCCATCACCACCAGTACCAGGAAGTAGGAAGGACGTGGAGGAGAGGGAGCAAAGGTACACCCCTCAGTTTATCTCCGCTAAATGGGTATTGAGCAAGCTGCCTGGTCCTGGGAAATGCCCACTGAGGAAGGTCTTGGGAACAGCTCTTGGCTCTACCTCTGGGAGCCATTTTCTCCCCTTGGTAACCAGGAGGTACCCACCGACCTCTCCCTCTGTCAAGGTGGGTTCTGGGAAAGGGTCCCCTGCCATTTCCCCTCCTGCAGAGGCTACCTGGCCGACGTTTGGTGCCCATCAGAAGATGGAGAAGGGCCCCTCTCCTGACATTAAAGGTCAGGGTGGGATTTCGGTCTGGGTGAACAGGCAGGAGTTTGTGGTATTGAGTTTATGGGGTACAGGGTGGTCAGAAATGTCTGTGTCCCTGAGAAGAGTAGACAAAGTGAGAAAGAAGGGGGCTTGGGACCTTGAGAAAGAAATTCAGTGGCTGGAAATGACTTTGGAGAAAGCGGTGGGAGGAGCTGGGGCTGAGGAGAATCAACACATTTTAGAGAAGTCACCTGGTGACATTCTAGAGAGGAAAAATGCTCAAGCGGTATGCTAGCAAGAGAATAACTATCCTGCAGCAGGAGTCATCTGGGCCCGGAATGGCTGTTTGGTTGCGGAGATGCCTGTGGTGGATGGGTGGATGGGTGGATGGGGAATCCTGGGGGAAGGTTGCAGGTGAGGGTCCTGGTGAGCAGGCCCAGGTGAGGAGAGAAGCCAGCTGCAGGATCAGCCTGCCTGCAGCCAGCCAGGGTGAGGATGTCAGGCTCCTTCTTCCTCCTCGAGTGACCAGGCCCAAGGGCATGCTGGGCAGGCCTGGGTAAGGTGCAGCAGTAAAGGAAGGTCAAAATCAAGTTCTTGAGTTCCATGGGCAGCCAGGTCTCTCCGAGGAGATGGGGAGCAGGGAGAGAAGGGGGAGGTGGCTTGGCCACCTGGGAAGCAGCCTGGGTGGCAGAGCTCATGGGTTTGTTTTCTTAAAGTTGAATGAGGTGGAACTCATACAGTGAAGTGCACTCATCCTAGAGTCTACTCCACGATGCGTTCTTACATCTGTTTACACCGTGTGACCATCACCCAGATCAAGAGACAGGACGTGTCTAGCATCCAGACGACTCTCTTCAGCCATTCCTCCTCAAAATATCCGCTGTTTTGGATATTTTGTTTTGGGGGTGGGGAAGGGCACTGATTAAAGTCAAGGACCCAGGCCAGGCCAAGCAGGGAGCCCCCGCCTTCACCATTTCTCTGTATTCCCTGCAGATATGACGTTGACTCCAAGAGTCCTGATTTATCCAAACATGTGAGTACTCCAGGGACTGCCCCTGATTCCCTAAGGTTTCTTCACCCCCATACTCCGGGTGGGCCTCGGGCTTTGCGGTGTCCGAATGGGTGCCCGATGCCACACCAGAACGCTCATGCTTCCAGGGTCGGGCCATGGGGGAAGTGGGGTAGTCATGAGCAGAGTGGGTGACACTGGTCTTTTCTGACCCCTGGATATGCAGGATTTCCTGGGCCAGGCTTTCTGCACCCTTGGAGAGATTGTGGGGTCCCCCGGGAGCCGTCTGGAGAAGCCCCTCACGTGAGTGTGAAAGTAGGCGCCGCTTGTCTGGGTTGCTTACCCAGTGATGGGCCAACTTCCCACCTGCCCTGCTGAGGACTGGCTCAGGGTGGGGACACAGCACTTGGCCAGGTAGGATGGGTGTTTGCAGGGTGGTTAGGAATAAGGAGACCTCACGGGACTTACCCTCACAGGGCTTCTAACTCCATCATCTTGAAGGGTCCTGGCATGGATTATTAGAACCCCATACTCCTGGGAAGGCCTGAGACGCCATCTAGACCATTCCCACCCTGACCCCAATCGTTGTGTGGAAGAAGAAACTGAAACCCAGAGAGGGGAAGTGACTTGCCCAAGGCCACACAGCCAGGAAGTAGGAGAGTTGGGATTTGAACCCAGGGCTCCACTCACATAGCATATTCCTTGGACTATTCACAGCTTGTTGTGGGACAGAACTGCATACAGTGAGGCCCTGCCCCTGACAGTGTGCATTACAGGACCTTAAGATGTCTTTAGGGGAGCGGTCCCCAACCTTTTTTGACATCAGGAACTGGTTTTGTGGAAGACAATTTTTTCATGGATGGGGGATGGGGAGGGATCATCAAGCATTAGATTCTCATAAGGAGCATGCAACCTAGACCCCTCACATGTGCAGTTCACGATATGGTTAACGCTCCTATGAGAATCTAACGCTGCTGCCCATCTCACAGAAGGTGGAGCTCCAGTCGCCCACTGCTCACCTCCTGCTGTGTGGCCTGGTTCCTAACAGACCATGGACCGGTACTGGTCTGTGGCCTGGGGGTTGAGGACCCTTGCTTTAGGGTGAAGCTATTATTCTGAGCAGGCTCTGGGATGAGGACTCCTGTGACTTCTCACAGCAGAGCCCGAAGATGTCTTCAGGGGCCAGCCAGGACCGGCCAGGTGGGGAGGGTGACCTCTCTTGTCTCTGTTTCTAAGAGGGCCTGCTCCCCACCTTTCCCCACACCAGGGAGTACAGATCATCATTCTTTGGTGTTCATGTTTCTCCGAACAACCACATTCACACTCTGTGCTTGGATAAACTCTCTTAACTGAATCCTGAGCCTTTTGATTATTTTATGTTGACACCCATGGGCCAGACCCTGGCAAGAGAGGCCAGCAGACGGGGACAAACATCCAGGCTGCAGGGTAGAGCGAGTAGGAGAGGGAGATCTGGCAGGGCTAGGCACAGGCTGCCCCCCAGGCACAGCCCCCCCCCCGGCACAGCCCCCCAACTGCCCGCCCCCGCTTGCTTCTGCCAAGTTCCCACTGAATGCTGGCCCCTCACCATGATCAGTTACTGTGGGGTGTGTGTGTGTGTTTGTGTGTGTGTGTGTGTGTGGAGTCTCTTCTCCAGGCTCTTGTCTGACCCCCAGTAACTATGGGGTAGGTAACTTCAGGACCCCTGGAAAGGTCTATTTGCCCCCAGAAAGGTTTTATCTCTGTGGTCCCAGAAAATAATGATACCTATCATGTACTGAAAACAGGGGGGAAACCCATGTTTTGAGAGTTTAAGGATCTTTTCAAAAAAAGGATACAAAATTCATATTCAAATTTGCTAGGCCCTCCCTGGTTGGACATACTCCTAACCATTTTTATTTATGATTTTATAGTCTTTCTCTACCTCAGAAGGAGCTCATGAGCGTGAGAGTGAGGGACCCAGGAACATCGGCCCCTTTGCCTGTTTCAGTTAACCATGCACTAAATATTACCCACCCATGAGCATTTGATCTCCACAGCAGCCCCTCCCCCAACCTTCGGCCTCACCAGGACTCTACCCAGAAGTGAATATGTATTGATTCTCAGCTCCCAGCTGCCTGGGTCAAAAGCCCAGTTCTTTGGGGGCTGTTTCCTGCCTGCTGTCACCTGGTCTACCTTTGGTGATGGGGAACACCTTTGGGGTGAGGGAAAGGAGATTGAGAAAGACTTCTTATAGGGATGACTTGCAAGCTGAGGCTTACAGGACAATTAAGATCTAAAAGACAGAGGTTGATGGGAAGGTTGGTGGGGAGGGTGGACCTTTTAACCCCAAAGGTCAAAGGTTTCACGTGTCTACATTTAGTTTTCTTTCCAACTAAACCCCATGAACAGCTCCTGTTTACTGGGCATCAATTCTGGGTCAGACACAAGGGTCAGTGCTTTACTTATGAAATCTGTATCTATTTGCTAGGGCTGCTGTAGCAAATACCACAGACTGGATGGTCTAAACAACAGAAATTAGTTTTCTCACAATTTTGGAGGCTAGTTGTCGGAGATCAGGATGTTGACAGGGTTCATGTCTTCTGAGGCCTCTCTCCTTGGCTTGTGGATGGCCGTCTTCTCTCTCCTGCCTGTGTGTGTCTGTGTCCTAACATCCTCTTCTCATAAGGACACTCACCATATTGGATTAGGGCCCACTCATGACCAGTTTACCTGAATTGCCTCTTTAAAGGCCCTAGCTCCAGCTATAGTCACGTCCGGAGGTCCTGAGAGTTAAGATTTAAACATGTGAATTTTGAGGGGAAGGGTTACAATTCTGCCCCTAACGTGATTTCATGTGATTCTTTCAGTAATGTCCCCATTTCACAGTCTGGATGCTGAGGCTGGAAGAGACACAACAGTGGCTCTTAAACTGTAGCAGCAGCATCAAAGCACAGATTGCTGGGCTCCACCCCGCAGTGCTTCAGATCCTGTAGGTACAGGATTGGGCCTGAGAATTTACATTTCTAGAACATTCCCAGGGGTTGCTGATGCTGCTGGTCTGGGTGTCTCACTTTGGGAACCAGTGAGGTAGAGAAACTTGCTCAGAAGAAGACCTCCCTTCCTCTGGGCTGTGGATTTTGGTCTTGTTTTAATGACTTCCAGAACAGAAACTTGTCTCCAAGAATCTGGATGCCGAGTGCTTGGGGCCTCTCTGGATAGGGGTGCTCGGCTCATGCATGTTGTCTCTCCTCCTCTCTCCACAGGATAGGAGCATTCAGCCTGAATTCCAGGACAGGCAAGCCCATACCAGCTGTGTCCAACGGGTAGGTCACAATCTCTGGCCTTAGCGTCCTTAAACTTTCAGTCTAGCCCTCAGAGTCACGGCCCAGTCCCTGCTCCCATCACTGTGAATTCAAGCCCTGGTCGGGGGACAGGAAGGGTCCTGGGTCCCTGGGAAGAGGCCCTCACTCTGCAGCCACCCCTGCCACTCCATCCAGTCTAGAGCTTGAACATCCCAAGCCCCAGTGGCTCATGGGACTTCAGGGAGCAGGGTGGGGCCTAGAGGCAGGGGATGTTTTCTAGGAATCAGCAGGGCTGGGCACTCTCCATTCCTTCCTCTCTCCGTGGCCTGGTTTCTGGCATCCCCGGCCCCCACCCCTTTCTCTCCCCCTCTTTCCTCCCTTTTCTGCTGTTCCCCTGCTCTTGTTCTCACCGCTGGACTCCAGCCTCCTCCTCATCGCAGGATAGATTCAGCTGAATCCTCACTTTTCACATTCACTCACCAGCTGCCGTGGGCCACCCTCCTCCCGCGCCCCCACCCTGACCGTCTGGTTTTGACTGGCCTCGTGCAAATGTGGGCCGCACAGAGCCTCCCCACTGGCTCCCCCTCCTTCTCTCCTGGTTTGGGGGAGTCCCCACCCCAGCTTCTTTTTCACGCCTGCTGGGGGGCAGGACAGGGAGCCTCTGCCTGGAGGAGCAGCCCGGAAGGGTCTCATTTCAGCTGGGTAAGCAGAGCTCCCCGGCCTTCCCTGGGGGGGCTCCAAGAGTGGGGATTTCAGCGCCTGGATTGGCCACCAGACCAGCTGCACTTGGGAAGGGGCCTCCAGGGATGCTCACAGCCCAGGGAGAGTGTGGAGAGAGGCAGCAATCGGAGAAGGAGCAGGAGACAGACACAGAGACAGGCAGGGAGAAAGAGAGGTAGGCCAAGCAGGTGGGAGCAGGTTGGGGCTGGAGAGGAGGAAAGAGAGATCGGAAATAGAAGACGGACTCAGAGGCAAAGAGAGGAACAGATGGAGACACACGGGGCGGAGGAGGCTGGTGTGGAGGATTCTATCTCCCCGGGCAAACAAATCATGTCTTTACTACCATGGAGGACCAGACAGGGGGTGAGGAAGGGCTTTGGGGCACTCAGCTCAGGTGTCCAAGTCTTGGGGGACAAGCTGTCAGGCGGTGCCACCTGCCTATGGCAGGGGAGGCCCCAGATGTGGCCCCTGCCCTGCTCGCCTGATTTGGAGAGATCTAAGATGTCTTGTCAGCCCCCAGGGCAGGCTCCCCTTCCTCCCCTGCCTCCTCTGTTTGGAAGCCTCTCCCTCCAAGAGCTGATTCTGGGACAAGCTCCATCAGTGGTTCTCAAAGTGTGTTCCCCAGACAGCACATGGCCCCTGCGGCTGGCCTGAGGCATGAGGCTGGATTTCACCAGCATTGCCCAGTTGTGAAGCAAAGGGTGCCGGGAGGAAAATGATGCTCATTGAAACCTTCTCTGTGCCTTGTGTGCATATTAGTAAAATGGATACTACAATCACACTCATTTGATAAGAAACAGGCCCAGAGAGGTACTGTAATGAGCCCAAAGTTGTGACTGATGGATAACCTGACATTGTCCTCTCGCCCCCAGTGGCTCCTGGCTACACTGGGACCCCCCTGGCTTAGTCCCAGACACCAGAGTGGGCTGGGCTGTTGCCTAGGGGAGGGGTCCCACCTGGCCAGGGGAAGAGGTGGTGAAGGTCCTTTGGGTAGAGCTCCACCCTAGGAACCTGCCCTCCCAGAGGGGATTCTCAGGGGTGGGCCGACTTCAGGGACCTTGTCCCGGCTGCCCATGTCACTGAGTTGCTACATGGTTGGCTGGCATCTCTCAGCCCCAGGGAGACCCCAGCCAAGGCGTTCAAGGGGAGGTAGCCTGGGCAGGCGGCCGCCAAGGGCGCACCAGTCCTCCTGCCTCTCTCCTTCCTGCCGCTCTCCCTCCCATGATGAATCAGAGTGGCTCAGACCTGGAGCGTTCCAGGACTCTGGGGTCATCTGGGTGCAAGGCGGGGTGGCTAGCCCACGAGGTCTTTTGCCCACAGAGGTGGTCTTTGGATGGAAAATTTGAGAACCACTGGTCTGGAAGCCTCCGGGTGAGTCTGGATGCTTTTCCGATTCTAGGACTTTCACTGTAGGCACTACCCTTCCCGGTGGGCTCTTGGGGAGTGGGGGTGGGGCACCTCCAGGCCCGGGGGGCCCTGCCCCCAGAAGCAGTGCACTAGGCCACGCCGCCACAGTATTTCAGGAGACTGTCTTCTCAGGGGCTTTGGGGGCAGATCTGCTGGCTGGCGGGGGAGAGGGATGGGAAGGGGCTGGCGCAGGGAATGTCCAGGTTGGTGGCTCTGGCCTCGTCTGGCTTTCCATTCTCTGTCTTCTCCTCTCCCAGTGGTGTCCCAGGGAAGAAATGTGGCACCATCATCCTGTCTGCGGAGGAGCTCAGCAACTGCAGGGTGAGTGACAGAGGGACTCCAGGACAGGAAGGGGGGCCGGGGGGCCTCCCTGTGACCCTGGACTCTGTGTGTCCCTGGAGAAAACTGAGGGTAGGCCGAGGTCGGTGGCTCAGTCTGTAATCCCAGCACTTTGGGAGGCTGAGGCGAGTGGATTGCCTGAGCCTGTGGGTTCAAGACCAGCCCAGACAACTTGGTGAGATCTCATCTCTACAATAAATCTACAATTTAAAAAAAAATTAAGCCGGGCTCGGTGGCTCAGCCTATAATCCCAGCACTTTGGGAGGCTGAGGTGAGTGGATTGCATGAGCCTGCGGGTTCGAGACCTGCCTGGGCAACTTGGCGAGACCTCATCTCTACAATAAATCAAAAAATTAGCCGGGCGTGGTAGCGCGTGCCTGTAATTCCGGCTACTTGGAAGGCGGAGGGGGAAGGATCACCGGAGCCTAGCAGGTCGAGGCTGTGGTGGCCAGGAGCGGCCACTGCACTCCAGTCTGGGTGACAGAGTGAGACTCCAACTCAAAAAAAAAAAAAAATTAGCTGGGGGTGGTAGCACGCACTTGTAGTTCCAGCTACTTGGAAGGCTGAGACAGAAGGATCGCCGGAGCCCAGCAGGTCAGTGCTGGGGTGGCCGTGAGCAAGCCTCTGCACTCCAGCCTGGGCGACAGAATGAGACTCCAACTCAAAAAAAAAAAGAAAACTGAGAGTAGATAGGGCTCCTGACTCTGACCTGGCTTACATAGAATTTACCACATCAGAGCTAGCAGGCGTCTTTGCTCCTTACAGCTGGGCAGACTGAGGCCCAGGGAGGGGCGGGAACTGAGCAGGGGAGCTGAGCCAGAATCTGGTGCCCTGGCCCCCATGCCAGGGCACCCTTCTCTTCCCATCACAGCCACCACTTATGTGACCTTGAGCCAAGACCGCCTGGGCACCAACCCTGGCAATAGAGGGGCCCTTCAGTCTCAAAGGCAGCCTGAGCACTTGACATTTAGCTGTCATTTTTCACTTTTATCTCTGGAGTAGAGTGACACCCTGCTTGGGGTGGAGGGGGAATGTGTGTGTGTGTGTGTGTGTGTGTGTGTGTGTGTGTATGTGTGTGTGTTGGGAAGCTGAGTCTGCAGTCCCAGCAGCCCTTGCATGTGCTGCTTCTGTGGGGCTATGGAGGAGCAGGAGATGGGGGCCTGAGGGCCAATAGTGATGGGACAGTAGCATCGTGGTGACAGTTCTTGTTTGTCAAGTAACGAGCATTATACATAAGTCATCACGACTCCTGACAATCATCCTAAGAGGTGGACACCAAAATGTCATTCCCATTTTTCGGATGAGGAAATTGAGGCTCAGAGAGGCTCAGTCATCTGTTCAAGAAAGGAAGTAGCAGGGTCCTGGCTCTAATCTGGGGCAGCCTGATTCTAGAATCCAGGCTCATCCCCCAAGCCACCAGGCTTGAGGGCCACTTCGGTTAATTAGGAGCTCCAGGTAGGAATGTAGTGGGGCCTGGGGACAAGAGAAGGAGGGAGGCAGAGGCAGGGAGGGCCAGAGTGTGAGCACAAAGCCTGGGGTGACCTGGGTGCATGGCTTCCCGTGGAGCTGGGAAGGATGAGGAGAAACAAGACTTTTCTCACCTTCCTGGGAAGTTAGTGCTACTATTTTATCTATCTGTATTTATCATATTAGAAATGTAGACAGAGATTTTTTAAAATTTTGGGCTAGGTGCAGTGGCTCATGCCTATAATCCTAGCACTTTGGGAGGCAGAGGCAGGAGGACTGCTTGAGCCCAGGAATTCCAGGCCAGCATAGGCGACATAACATGACCTCATCCCTACAAAAAAAAATCAAAAAATTCGCTGGGCGTGGTGCCGCATGCCTGTAGTCCCAGCTACTTGGGAGGCTAAGGTGGAAGGCTTGCCTGTGAACCCAGGAGGTCGAGGCTGTGGTGAGAATGATCCTACCTGCACTCCAGCCTGGGCAACAGAGTGAGACTCCGACTCGAAAAAGAAAAGACATCTATGTTTAATTTAATTTAGAAATAACAATAGTGGAAACCATTACACATTTTTTGCAAAATAACAATAACTCGCAAAAATCATTCAGTGAGAATGGTGGCCCTGTTTTACATCTTTACAAATCTCTGTAATGTCTGGCTTAATAGTAGATAGCTGGATTCTCATATCTGCTTCTGCAGTCAGTCTGTTGTGATATCACTGGAAAACTCTTGGGCTTAGCATTATTATGAAAGCAGTTTTGACTTCATGGGACCCCTGGGGTTCCTGGTCCATTCTTTGAATAATTGCTGGTATAGAGGTGTGATAGTGTTAGCTAACATTAATTGAGCAGCTCTTCTGGGCCTAAGGGGTTTCCATGGATTGCCTTATTTATCTGATGTATTACAGCATTTAATACATTATATATTATGGTGTATTATAATATCTGGTGTATTATGGAGCTCACTAATTTCCTCACCTGTACAGATGATGAAACTGAAGCACGGAGAGGTTAAGTGACCTTCCTGTCCAAGGTCACACAGCCACTGAGTAGAAGAGATTTAAACCTAGGCAGTTTGGCTCTGGTGCCAAGATCTTTAACCACTGGGCTGTGGTGTCCCAAACTGTGCCTTCAAGGGCTTCCCCTTGGGAAAGAAGACTCATAAGAACAGAATTGATAGTGCAGGGTAGCATAGAGATGACCAGTGAAATTCACCTGCAACAGCTCATTCTGGTAGCTTCTCTGTTTACCTCGGTGGGTCTGATATTGACGACAAGAGTAAGCCCCACCCCATGCATATATCCAGCACAGGGCTTGGTGCGTTGCAGGTGTTCACTGAGGCTTCATCATGACTGAGTGCTTAGGAAGCTCACCGAATTTCAGTGGCAGGTCCTGGTGAAAACTCCGACACCTGTGGCCCAGAGCATCTGGCTGCTGCTGGAGTTCAAAGGGAGATGAACTCAGCTGACATGCAGCACAGAGCTGTTTAAACTCCCAGAGCCTCCGTTTTTCGCCTGTTTATCAGAGCGGATAGCGTGGCTGTGAGGGTTGAAAGAGATCATGAAGGTGAGTGTCCTAACAGGTGTCTGGGAAAGGCCAAATCTGGATTCCCTGAAGCTTAGTTTAGTTTTTTCCCAAGCTTCTAGCCCAGCTGGTGACTTCCTCCCTGGTGTATAATTAAATAGAATACTGTAAGTGAAGTGCTCTGGATATTCTGAATCACTAGACAATGCCGCTTGCTGTTCTTGGCCTAGCCTGCCAGGGGTCCGTAAGCAGTCTTTGGTTCATTCCCATTAGGCCCCTCCTTCCCCCGCTCCGCCCTTCTCCTTCACCCAGGGATGACAGCAGATGCCTGAATTTAAGCACCAGGGGTATATGTCAGGGTGTGGGGGAGCCCCTCCCTTCCTCCTGAGATTGTCAGCTGCTTTTCTTCTGAGGTATCTTTGGCTGAGTTCTATTTCCCTGGAATACTTGCAAGGAAAAGAGACTAATTCCCAACATCTGGCTGAATTAAAATAATTACATCGGAGCCGCCGCTTTGCTTCTGTCTTTCCAGCTCAGCATTCAGTGGGAGGATCAGAGGAAGAGGGTGGAGTCTAAGAGATGGTTTTTCACCAAGAGCAGGGCTTCCTGCTCCAATGAATACATTCTGCAGGGGTAGACAAAACCTCCCTCCATCCATGGGGCTGGTGTGGGCGGGCGGGGACCAGTGAAGGATGAGGGTGGACTCCGGTATGTCACCAGCACACTCTGATAGGCTATACAAGAGCCTCCTTAAATGCCAAGAAAGTTCCCACAGTCAGAATTTGATCCAAATGCTGTTGAATGGGTCTTGGTGGTGACAGTGATAAGGTTAGGCTGAGGAAGCGCCGTCTGAATCACCAAAGTTTTAATTCTGCTCAGCAGTGAAACTATTGTTCTTGTATGTCATACTGACTAGCATTGTGGAATCTCTAGTTTACCAAGATTCTCTCATTTACAGACTCCATTTTTTTTTTTTTGAGTTGGAGTCTCACTCTGTCACCCAGACTGGAGTGCAGTGGCCACTGCAGCCTCAGCCACCACAGCCTCGACCTGCTGGGCTTTGGCGATCCTTCCGCCTCAGCCTTCCAAGCAGCTGGAACTACAGGCGCACGCTACCACACCCGGCTAATTTTTGATTATTGTGGAAATGAGGTCCTGCGCCAAGTGCCCAGGCGGGTCTCGAACACGCAGGCTCAGGCAATTCACTCACCTCAGCCTCCCAAAGTGCGGGATTACAGACTGAGCCACCGAGCCTGGCTATAGACTTTTTTTTTTTTGGAGTCAGAGTCTCCCTCTGTTGTCCAGGCTGGAGTACAGTGACATGATCACGGCTCACCATAACCTGGACCTCCTGGACTGTTGATCCTCAAGCCTCAACCTCCCAAATAGCTGGGACAACAGGCACAAGCCACCACACTCAGCTACAGTTTTTACCTTTTTACAGAGATGAGGTCTTGCTGTGTTGCCCAAGCTGGGCTCAAGCAATTCTCCCACCTCAGCCTCCCAAAGTCCTAGGATTACAGGCGTGAGCCATCACGCCCGGCCCCCATGACCTCTTTTTATAACACTCTATATTATTTTAATATTATAGACATAATTTAATATAGTACTATAACATTTGTAACTCTCCTTACTACCCTGAAGGAAAATTCATGGATACTATATAATATACCTACACATACACAGGTGGGAGAATGAGCCCTTGCAGCTACCTGGGCAAGACTGGTCCAGGCAGAGAACAGTGTGCAAAGACCCTTGGGTAAAAGAATGATGGCTGATGAGTCAGAGAGATGAGGATGGTGGGAATCAAGGCCAGGCTGGGTGGGACCTCCTAACAGGGGAGCTTAGCAGCCTTTTATCCTAACAAAGTCAGAACTTTCATTGTCCTAAAGGCTAAAGCTTCAGGGAGAGCCCAGTTTCTCCGTGTGGGAGATGAGGGTATAGGGAACAGCCATGGGAGGGAGGGGAGAAAGCAAGATGAGAAGGAAAGGGCGAAG